TTCATAATAGTTCAAACTTCTACATTTCTATTATTCACATTTTTCATAAAATATTCCAGAAGCAACTATTGATTAACATTTAAAAGCTGTGATTTTACATTCAGTAACATTTTGCATCTATAACATGAATCACAATTGTTTTTAAAAAAATGGTATCATAAAGCCATTAAAAGTGAAATCATTTACATTTTCCACTCTTGCATTATTCATATAAAGCACTGATTGGCAGATCTATTAAACATTTACTTTTGATGTTTAGTGTTAGTAACATGTGTATCATCTATCATATGTTGTATTATGCAAAACATTCCTTAGATTAAGTTTTATATTTGCAACCTGACTGTACAAAAAAACTTAATTCTAAGATTTATGAATTAATTATCTGGTCTACATCTAGATGTACCAAGAGTGCTCTTTGGGTATTTTTTCAAAAATTATTTTGACCCCTTGACAATCAGTGATTGCGCCCTAAAACCACCAATTTTCGAATTTTTTCCCCCTCTTCTTTCCAAAAACTTTGAATGAAAACTTGCTTATCTTTTACTTATCAGTACTTATCTTTTACTTCTAAATAACACAAAATGACTGCAAAACCATGCATTTTTTAGGTCTTAGTATTTCAAATCTGATGCCTTTTAAAATTCGTCTTCAATGAGACAAAATAACTTGACACATTATTATTTCTATCATAAACAATAAAAGTATAGTAATTATTAAACTGCATATAAAAACAACCTGTGTATATTTATGGCATTTGGTTTGGCACTCATCTCGACCACCGAGTCAGGCTCACGCCCTGACAGCACTGCTCTTCAAAATGATGTTTGCTACTTTCAAATAGGAATATTTATTTTTACCTGGATGTAGATAAGGGTCTCTGAAACCACACAGTTGTTTTATTACTAAACAATACATGCACTTGCCCAGTGAAAATGTCTTTCATTTCCAAAGATTTTTCTCTGACCTCAACATGCTTACTTCCTATGCTAGTACTGTCATTCATACATTATTTTGGGTGTTTAAAATATAGTATAAATATATTTTGTTATAATTAAAAATAGAAATCGCAAAAAAGTTTTATTTAAATTTTAAATATTTTTAAGAATTTGGGGATTAAGTGCAAATAAAATAAATATGAGTGGGAAACGAAGGATCTGTATCAAAGCCAAAAAGACCATGCCCCCCATTAACATAAAAAAACACAAACTTCATATGCCAGATGAAAAGTAACTAAAGTATACTGGACATATGCAGGTAAAATGCAAATTTTGGCAGTGCACATTTTGTAGCACAAGGGAGAAACTTCATAGAACAAAGATACATGTGCAAAACATGCAATGCTGGTTTATATATGTACTAACAAAACATGCTTTGAACACTTTCATGAAAAACTTTATTCTTTGGAGGAAAAAAAAAAAAAAAAATTATCCTTACTTTATTCACTCTTTTTTTTTTATCCATTTATCCGAATGTTCTAATTATGTACACTCTTATGTTTTCACTGCTATAGAAAAATCACATACATGTTTAATCTTTTATTTGACAATTTACTTTGTAAAATAATATAAAAAATTTACATATAATGCAATTCTTAAATTCAGTTTTTTTAAATTCATAAATTTCATCATTTATTGGAAATTTGTACGGAAAAAGATAAGTTTTTTTCCCTACTACCTTTGTAAGTTTCAAAGTTCTAGATGCATGCTGGTTTCATAGTGTAACCACCACATACATATCAAGGGCAAGAGTAGATTTCATTTAATTCATATATTATTTGTCTCTAGGATCATAATATTCAATTTCTAGAGTTCTTAGTTAAAACATTATGAAAATAATATTGCGTGCATTGAAGGGTTAAGCCTATGATTAAACCACCAAATTATAAACACATAAATGTCAAAATATCTTGTGAAACTGAAAACTATGGAAAAAAATCTATGCAACCAGTCAGTTTCCACTGCCAAGATATGAAGATACTTCCTTTTTTTACATCTATTAGTTTAAAATTCATTCTTAAATTCTACCTGATTAAAATACTACATAAAAACATGCATACCATAAATGAGCTAAGAAATGCTATTTAAAAATAACATTTTTGTCATCCCAATGGCAGCACCAGCCATCATAGGCCACTACTAAGGCTGGAAGTGCTCTTACAAAGAGATAGACAATCTAGAACCATGCCTTCTCCGGAATTCGAACGCGGGCCCTTCAGTATGGCAGTCAAAGTCACTAATCACTTTCTTGTGCAGGCGGCACTAAAAAAATAGCATTTATTATCCCAATTTATGCCATACAAAGAAGAATCTAAAGGGCAATAATACCATTAGAACTAATCAGTGTATCATTAATAAAGTGACAAATAATCAATACCTTGAAGTATACAAATAACTATTACAACATGACAAAATTTGAATTTAAAATGCGTCAAAATTCCTCTCCAGTTTTTAAGTGATACTTTGTAAATCAGTATTTTAACCTTAATAGTTAAGGTCAAAATTCTGTGAACCGATAGAATTTAATAATTCATTATTCATAGAAATTATCCTTAATATTCTTTTAAGACAAAATACATTAAATATTTTTGTTGAAAATCATAAGGGTGAAATATATGACATTCTTCAGGTAAATAAAATGCTGCATTAAGTAAAATATGCATTTCAAGACTCATTTTTGGATCCTGGCTTTCTGTACCATATCACATTTTCACACTAAAAATACTGAAAATTAAACAAAGAAATAGACTGGTGTGCATCTGAAATTTGTACGCCATATAAATCTATCAACTGCATGAGCATGCTTCGACAAACCTTACGAAACACACCAAGGCAGCAGCATTCAGGCATATGTAGCCTTCTAGGTCTGTAAATATAACCTGTTAACAATACAATAACCTCTCCAACACAACACATCTGCTATATCAGTCACGCATCCTCCTGCAGCCTTGGAGTAAAATTTCTCATGGTAACAATCATGACTTTACGCTTACATCTTGGAAACTAATGATCCGATTTCAACGCAGTTTGCTGCATTGGACTGCAAGTGTGTGCCCCATCATTTTAATATAAATTTTATGTCTATATCTCAATTAGGGTGCAATTTTCCATGAAACTGGAGGTGCGCCCCATGATTGAACTTGCGCCCTAATTGAGGTACAGACATAAAACTTATATCAAAATGATGGGGCACGAAAATGCTATTGAATGCAGCAAGTTGCATCAAAATCGGACAATCGGTTCCCAAGATATTTATGTTTAAATGCTTTTCTCACCAAGAAAATAATTTTGTGTACATTTACTTGAATATCTCGAGAACTAATAATCCAAGTTCAATGCAATTTGTTGCATTCAATTGCAAATGTGTGCCTGTTTATTTTTCATATAAGTTTTATGTCTGTATCTCAATTAAGGTGCAATTTCCCATGAAGTAGACAGATCAAATTGCTAAAATTCATGGATATTCCACATAAACATGAAGGGAAGTAATAAAAGTAGCCACAATCAGTCCTGTGTAAGTGACTTTGCAGTAAGTAATGTCACCAGACAACATAAAATTAATCTTGTAAACAATTCAAAGAAGATGCACTGGAAGGAAGAAAACAGCAAAACATTCCAAATATTTTCTGAAGTATCCCTAACATGCTGGGCTTTGATATCAACTTTGTTATCTGAAAGCACTGTTTGTTTAAAAGGCAATGGGTGAAGCAGTTGTTTCATTTTGTAGCCACCTTTAACTAAGAAATCAGCTTTCAAGTTTACTGTATACAGCAGCTTAGAAATCTACTGGAAAGCAATCTCCCAATCACAAGAGATTACTTAACTGACGAGAGTTGTCACTACCTTCAACTTAAGATGAGTCAATGATTGCATGGGAAGTATTAATCAAAACTGCAGCCTGATAAAAAGAATAGCCTTTTAAAAGTTTCTAATTAATAGATTTTGAAATCTGTATTTACAAGCCTCAATTTAAGCTTCAAAATTTAGTGTATTAAAACGTACAGAACAGACCTTAAGAAGTACATAACCAGTAATATCCTCCTCAAAGTAAAAATGAAGTCAATCTTTACTTGGGTAAAAAGTAAAAATGACTTCTAAGGAATGAGCTTATTAATATTTGCACAGAGAATGAGCAAATGTTAGCTGCAGTTAAAGTACAATTTTCAAACTGGTTACTTGCACATTTATAATTTAAATAATGTTTAAATATAATTAACTCTTAATAATAACAGTTCATTAGTTAAACAAGTTTCCTTTTTTTTTTTTTTTTTTTACTTTACTTGATAAGATAGAAAATTAAGTATGCTTGAGACTACGATGCAAGAAGAAATGTGTTTAATATTGTTAAGTTAAATGTACATTTCTTTGGGGATTTTTGGGATAGTATTATTACCAATAAATGTACACACAATTCCAAAGCATTTTGTCAATTATCTCTTAAGTTATAAATGATTTAAATCAATGAAAACACAGCACTAGAAAAAAATTGCATTGAAATTTTAGTTTAATATTTCATTAAATGCAGATGACATATATAAAAAAAAATTTCCTATGTGCTCTGATAATGTCAATACGAAATCTGCAAAGTAGATTTATTAATATATAAGCATTTTGGAACTGATATTTAAGAATTTTTAACACAAAACTCAATGGTCTGCTTCTTTGTATTTTAGGCACACTGATATTAATTAACCCATTAAATGTGAGCTTATACAAATACACCTAAATTATATCAGGTTACTTAAAAAAACATTCTGTCAAATAGCTAAAATTTAGAATTAACTGATTTCTTGCTTAAATTATACATATATGTGAATGATTTACATATTAATAAAAATCAATCTAAGCTGAATGGAAAGTAAGAAGCAGCAATTCATTTCAAATGCACTGCAGCTATTTGACAACGACCTCTCCATCTTAATCTATGAAATTACTGACTATACCCTGCACTGAAGAAGTTGCCACAGGAAGATTATACATGTTCCTGCCACATTCTGTATGACATGTGAGCAAGAAAACTCAGAAGTAGTTTGAGAATTAATTTTTGGCCATGTTATTCCTGATATGTGGCCTTCAAATTTCCAACTGCAATTCTTTTGACAACTATGGATGGGTATCAATAGTAAGAAATAAAGGTAAGCTAAAAAGAATCTGTTAGGCATTTTAAGATTCATCTTAAAATCTTAGATTTAAAGTTATAAAATGTGCACTTATGGGGTTAGAGTAGATTTAAGGATGCCCCTTGGATTATCGCTAAGTAGTTGTTTCATTTATCGCCAAGTTGTTGTTTCATTATGGTAACCTGAGTAGTGACGATACCAACAGTACGGAGGATACTTTTGACTCTTATTTTTCTGAATTTATGTGGCGATGCCAGTATACACATTCTATTTCAGATAATTTTAGGAACTTTCTGGATGCTGTTAAGGAATTTTGTTTGACTGACGACACAGAAATTCATCAATAAGGTAAGTGGATATTTCCTTCGTGTAGTGCTAAGATGAATTTCCTTTTTTGTGTTATTTCATTGTTTGATTTAAAATGTAGTTTATTGATATTATATATTTTTTGATGGCTCCTCCTTTGACTTTTTAAGTGAATATAAATCTATGTATACATGGACAAAGTCAAGGGCGTGCACAATGCAGAGTTTGTGCAATTCTCTGATATTTTTTTAAGTGAAAATAGGTTAATGTGTACATGGACCTATTAATGTGTACATGGATACCGAGTTTGAGCAATTCTTTGACTTTTTTGGATTTGTGTAACAGCGATTTTTGTATACTACAAAATTAGTATACATGTACTGCCAAAAATCTCCAATTTTCACCAAGTGGCACCCATAAATATATTTTTACCCACTGACTGCTTTTGAGGTCATCAGATTAGTTGGAAAAATTCCATCTTTGTCTAATTTGTCTGTTTTGGGAAATTTTGATAAATATAATTTTTTAAGTTAGGGCTTGTATTTTCTAATTATACGCCCCTTTACCAAAAATGTGTGAAAAATATTCATGGGGCAAAACAAATGTTGCAAAAATAGTTACATGTCAACCCACAATGTTACCAAAAGTATTTATATGGAAACCCAGACATGCATGTAGCACATGTCTATTTTGTCTGGTGTGCAGTGCCAAAGCCAAAATAGTACAAGTGCCAAGTTTGTGCCATATCTAATTTTTTTAAGTGAAAATAGATCACGGTGTATATGGAGAGAACAATAGTGTAAAAAGAAGGGTTTCTAAAAAAAAGTGTTTTATTACTGGTGTTTCTTGCCTTTTTAATTTTATTGATTAACTGCCCTTGTATGGAACTCTTAGTTAACTCTATTTTCAAAATTTGCCTTTCACATATTAACTTCATATAATATTAGTCACAAACAAATTTGCCACTTTTCAGTAAATTAGAAAGCACCTATTTTTCTTCAATGTATTTTTCACATCCATTCTGCTTGCCCAATCTGTAATGATAGATAGATCCACACTTAGACTGACACAGGAAGTACACAGGTATGTATTTCCTGTGTCAATGCTATGTCTTATCAATTACTACTACTTTTCAGCTAGAGACAGTAATAAGATAATCATAATGTATTAAAATACACTAGGAAATACGGGTACAGTAGACTTTACCCCTTGTATTATGGCGAAGTTGTTGTTTGATTTATCGCCAAGTTGTTGTTTCAATTATGGTAGCCTGAGTAGTTGAAGTATGGACCCTATGTGACGTTAATCAGGGGCATGGTTCGGGAAATTGAATATGGATGTTTTGTAAGGTTTTGTGGTGGTGTTTAAAACGTTTTAGATGGATTGAATAGGTTTGTAGGAGAAAGGTTCAGAGGTCACTATGTGAGCGTTCGATCAGAAAGCATACCTGGTTTGAAAAAGTCATTTGAGTCTGATGATATTTTGAGTACGTGGTCTGGGTGTACAAGTGGCCCGAAAATATGTAAGTGATATTGCCTTTGGTAGTGCTGAATGTATAACATGTTTTTCCGTTTTTATGTTTTTATGTTGGTTAAACGCATTATTTGAGTTATGTATTTTTGTTTGCCTCTATTGTAGAATTTGTGCTCTTTGACTTTTAAGTAAAAATATCAATGTTACATGACAAAGTAAGGAGGCACAATGCAAGTTTGTGCAATTCTGGATTTTTTTTTTTTTAAAGTAAAATGGTCAACGTGTACTGGATAAAGTAAAAGAGTGTGCAAGCCATTTTGTGCAATTCAGGGATTTTTTAAGTGAAAATAGGTCGACGTGTACATGGATAAAGTCCAAGGGTGCCAATGCCATTTGTGAAATTCGAGGGTTTTTTTTTAAGTGAAAATAGTCATAACGAGTTTGTGCAATGTTTGTCTTGCCTATTTGGCTTTGGGGGGGCGATTTTTGGCGCAAAAATCGCCGCTTCGCAAGCCAAAATAACAAGTCGAAGAATTGCACAAAATCGGTATCCATGTACCACCAAAAATCGCCAATGGGTACCCTAAACTATACTTTTACTGGAAATACCAAGGAATTCAAGCACTTCACTCCATATATGTGAGTAATAATGTCATGAACACTGATGTTTGCTCTCATTCTTTTATGCTTCCCTCTAAAGCAATTTGTTATTTCATTTCACTATCATTCACGCCATTGTTTACCTCACTTTGGCTTGTATTTATGTTATACTTTTGGACATAAAAGGCATCCTTGCTGTTTACTAAAGTTCCATTTATAGTTCATTGCTTACATTCTCATCATGGGTCATAAAAATATTCAGAACTTCCTTTAAAACATTAAGATTATTTAAATGTCAGACATGCTGTCATTTAATTAGATCTGCATCCAAAAAAATATAACAGGAAAATCAAAACAATCTAGGAAATAGCGTAGAACTGCACACAAAAGCATTTCAGAGGTGTTTTGCTAAAATCACAGCTGGTACAAAAACACTGCTAAAAAATAGACATTATGATAACACACATAGCAAAATGGAATGAAATAAGACACATAGCATAACGGAATGCACGAAATCTGCTACTTCATCATATCTATTTTAAAATGATAAACTACAGTAAACAGAGAACAAGGCAAGTTAAGTGCAATGTAAGCAATGAAGAATTAAATTAAAAAATATCTCATATTTAATTCTTCTGTCAATTTCACTATCATCTTGGAAAAAAAAGTCAAATTATTAAAAATTGTAGTGCTAATAACTTACCACTACTTTAATGCAGAATTTCAGAAAATGTATGACATGTGCTTGAATACAAGTTGCAAAGTACAAAACAGCTCTCTTTCAGCCATTTTTATTGGTGAAACTGAATAGCAGCAAATGAATCTCGTGCTCTAATAAATATAAAAACAAGCCTTTTATGAATACTATACATCAGTATATATTAGCATAATAAACAAATATTGATAAATATTCTTAGCATTTGATGGGTGTAGACTAAGATCATTTAATGTCATTTCTCACCATTTTTTAACTTCATATCATTAGGAAAATTCAAACTTATCAACTGCCATACATATAAATAGAGCATTCATTTTTCTAGTAGTTGAAAGATTATTAGGTACAACTCTGATATACGCCCTAATTTCATCAAATGTGGCGATATGTGTTCTGCGCTGGTTTTTGGCACGATTGCGTGTTGTATGGCAACCTGTTGACGTTGAAAAGGCTTCGTGGAGTTCATTGGTCCCGTCATGCTTTGGTTGAGAAGCTAGGGGGAAAAGATTTAATGGTGAAAGTTGTTGATTGAAGTCGGAAAAGGAAATATCGTCGTGGTTCCTGTGAGGGGCATGGGTATTGGAGGTGTGGAAAGAGGTATGGGAGATTATTTTAGTGGTTGTGCGTGATAGAAGTAGGGATTTGTGATTATTGTTATTTTATTTATTTGTGAACCATAGTATGAATTTTCTGGATAGCATGTCTGGCTGTCATATAAATACGATAGAGATTACATGGCGGCATGTTAAAGGCGGGTATGAAACTTGGTATATTTCTGCTCTTCGAAAAAGCATTAATTCACGGTTAAGTGCATTTTACTTTTATTCTTGTTTTTATTTTGTAGAATGTAGAGTTATTGATGTTTTTTGGAATTGTTTGAAACTTATATTACTTATTTTGTTGATTAGTGCGTACCATCTAAATTGCAATTCGTAGATGATTTTTATGTTGAAACAGGACGCTGTGTACATGGTATTCTTTGAAATTTATTGTTTTTGTAATTTATAAAGTGAGGGCGCGTAGTCGTAAATTCGTTTGTTGGCTAAATTTGATTCGTAGATGTTTTTTAAGTTGAACAGGATGCTGGTACATGGTAGTCTTTGAAATTTTGTTAGTTAATTATTAAAGGAGGTGTGCGTAGTTTGTAAATTCGTTCTGCCTAGACTGTGCATTCGTAGATGTTTTTTTTTAATAAAACATATCGCTATGTACATGGACACTTGTAAAAAAGTTGGTAGAACTTCACGGTTTTGCTATCTAAATTTTTTGTTTTTTGTTTGGATTTTGCTTACATTGTGTGTTCAACCGTGTTTTGCATCGCGCAACCTGTTTTGGAGACATTTTTTGGTTAAAGTTCGAAATGTAGACAAAAATTTGATAGCAATATGGCAGCGTGGAGTTTCTTGCCAAAAATATTTGGCGAGAAATTTGGCGCCTTGAGGGCGCATATCAGAGTAGTTCCGATTATTAATTAAAGACTGGTACACAGGTAATTTATCGGACAAAGTATTCCTATTTATTTTCTTTGGAAGCGAAGTCTTTTAAAAGCAACCTAAAAAAAATAATTTTTATTCCATAACAGTAATTAACAAACCAATAGTAATTAACAAACAGAATGACACCTTCTACAACAATCAAATCCACTTTAGCTCCTGATGAATTACAATTAAAACTGTTATTTAAAAAATGTTATCAAATGGCATTAATATCTACCATAATACTTATCAAACCTCATTTCTAAATTTACTGGCCCCAATAGCAGCCGAGCAGTTAAGATTGTTGAATGCTGGTAGTTCAAATCCAAATAAAGAAGTGGGCTACATAATAGGTTTTCCCCATGCAAGATATGAATATGAGCCATCTCTCTTGGAATATCCTACAGGAAGGCATCCGGTTGATCTTTGGATTATGGTAACTTGGCGATTTTTTGGCAAAAATTTGGTGACCAACTCTACTACAGCAACCCTCTATTTTTTTTTTCCGCCGCCATTTTGTCTCACGAAAGTAAAGCTTTTTTGAGTTCTTTCCTTCTATTTATGAACACTTTTCCAAAATCTACTAGCCGAATTACATTTTGCTAGAATTTATGTAACAAAACTGCGTAATCATGACAAATATAACTGCAAAATTGGGAAAAAGTTCACAATGCAAAATCTGCCGTTTCAGCATAGCACATACACAAACCATTTAACGGCACTAGTTTTATAAAAAAAACTCCCAGAATTGCACAAAAATGGCATTGCACCCACTCTAACTTTTCCATCTACACTGCTTTTTCTCCTAAATTAAAAAAATTTGCACAAAAATGCAAAAAAATTCTGTGAATCTTTAACTTGGTAAAAAGCACAATATGAAATTACCTGATCGAAAAATATATACCTTCCAAGGATGAACATTCCACGTATTTAAATAAATAAAATATCAAAAAACTTTTACCTCTAAATTATCTATTTATAAACGCACCAAGAATTCATACCGCAAAATTCAAATACTAGTGTCAATATTTAAATTTTCCATACCGTTTATTCAACTGAAACGTATACCAAATTCACAAAACATAACAAAAATAACTATCTTTAATCAAAAGATCACTAAACCTGTACACGTTGACTTATGTTACTTAAAAAAATACCAGATTGCCAAAAAATGGCATTGGCACACTTCACGATTCCATTCACTGCTTATTCTCATAAATAGAAAATTTCACGAAAATGATGAAAATATAAGTATTCTACTCAAACGATTCCAAATACTACCAACCTAAACTACAAATACGATCATTAATTAAATATAATTAAATTAAAAAACACTACTTAAAATTAGATTCAATCATAATACTGTAAACTAAATCATTGCTTAATAACAATTTCCAATATATCATATTAATTTATTTACTCCTACATTTAGAACAATGCATAAAAAAAGATCCTCAATGATTAAAAATTCTAACTTACGATCTTATTACGTGCCGCACAATTCCACTATTCACAAACACACAATGAAGCTTAATACAAAATAAGATCGTACTACAGTTTTCAATTCCCCCCTTTTCGATAAAGAACTGTAATTGTCCATCATGTACATGAATAGCTCAGATCTCAATCCTCACAAAAAATAATGGTATCGGAACTAAGTACTTCTCACATTATTACCAAAGTCCTAGGTAGTAACCTTTATCGCCTCCAAAATGTCGGCAAACTACCAGTTACCATATTCCAAAGATCAGCCAGGCATCCCTTTCCTTAGAAAATAACCTTTGTGTGCTTTTCCATACTTAAATAACCTAACCTTAATGCTACTATTTAAGACACACCCTTTTTAATGCTATAAAACCTGATAAAAATTATGAAATAACTTATATACTTTTACAAAGATTAAAAAAATACTGAAGGTAACAATGGTCTGTATTGAATTTAAGTAAGAGACAGTTTAACTTTGATATATTACTTTCGCTATCACTTTTGCAGTACTAAAAGCTAACATACACAATAGCTAAGCTAAAAAGATACAGATCTTTTACAGTTGTTCTTAGAATTAGTCATTACATTAAAACAGTTAAATCAAGGTATGTAATATGCATAATAATTTAGATACAACTTAGACCTAGACAAATTTAATACTCAAATTTTGGTAGTCAAATCGTTCTTTTATTTTTTTGGGGGCCATGTACGAACATTCAACTCTAATAATGACCTTCACTTAGTTTATAATTTTTATGCTTGCAGATAAAATATCACTTAACATCGAGGCGGTGTTTAAGCTGCTTATCAACTCTTCAGTAAACTACCTGCAAAAACATGAAAATTCGTAAGAATTCAAAAAACGAAAATTTATCAATTAAAATATTACGTTAAAAATGCACAATGCATGCAAGAAAATTAATTTATATGTCTCCTAGTTATCTTCCATATCGTTTTTCCTTAGTCTTAGTACAATGACAGAAATGGTTAAGTTTAATACAATATTCCAAAGTTATAATCACTACGAACCAAAATAATCAATTAATCATTTCTCATCAGAACTCAAAAAGATAACGAACAAGAATACTGAAATTCAAACAAAAACAGCTACATATGACGGTCTTGTTGTAAACAATTTTTTACACTTCAGTTCGACATCTAGTTTTTGTGAAATGTATAAAAGTTTTTAATGCAAAAATCGCAATACGTTTTATAATTATGTGCTTACATAACAAATCCAAATTTCGTCTAACTCCGAGAAAGAAAATTAAACTCGCCGGCTCTTAAATGAACCTAACACAGCGTATAACCCAAGGAGGTTAGAATAGAAGGAGGGAAGGTTCACGCAAACTGAGCTTGGCTCATCTCCTGTATCCTGTGCTTGTGCAAGGAAGTCTTATGGAATTTTTTTCTTTTCTTTTTGAAGCATGTCAGCTTGTGTTGCATATGGGTGCACAAATAGATTCTCGAAAAAAATTCTGGGCGTTATTTTTCACACGTAAGTATTGATTTTCTTTTTTTATGTAATACGACAACTATGTCAAAAAATATCACGTCATGTTGTTTTCTTTCCAGATGTGAAAAAAAAGGGACTTAAATAATCAAAATAGGTTACGTAATATAACTATAATCAAAATATGTTAAATACATTTCAATGTTTCTGTTTATAGCTGGTATCTTCGTTACTTAAGATACAATGCTATATGGTAGGATTTAAATTGTATACTTGAACGTTTAGTAATCGTTTTATATTTCATGAAAAAGTAAACAATTGTACATTTTTATTTTTAAGGTATTAATAAGTAATGCTTTCTTTATATATTTAATTTTTCAATTAAGCTAAAATGTTTGTGTTAAAAATTTTTGTATAAAATTACAAATTTGTGGCAGGAGTGTAAAAGTAAGTAAAATTTTACACATTGAGCATGTGAAAATTATCCAAAATACTAGTTATTTCTAATTTATCTTATTCAAGCACTTGCGTTCAGATCGTGATATAACGCGCATAAACTGAATACTGGATTCACATAATCGTTTTATTTTATTAAGAGTTATGTCTAACCTAAGATCGTGCATATGCAGAAAATCATTTTTAAAGGCTTTATGTATGCCATGCTTAGATTCGAAATATTTCTTAGAATTTGCTGTACTGGAAATAGGATATCATCTTTCTGACCTTAAAACAAAAATTCACAATAGCGGGGATTTCATTATCATTTAAATATCGTATGGAAAATAATGCACGGAACAGCTTAGAAACACGTCATGTCCTGCCTAAGCATGTTTGAAGTACAAACACGGACGCCGCTTGTTCGGCGGAGTTTCATTCCCCGATAGTGGAGGAAACTGCGAACCCTCCCTCCTTCTATTCTAACCTCCTTGGTATAACCCGTGTTTACGTTTCAATACCATTATGTTGCCAATCTTTGAATGTCTACTTTCCATTTTAAAATACTGAATAGCCTCGTTCGCGGACACATTTTTCGCTTAAATCGACACAATTTTGGGGAAAGGAACTTATTACACAGTTATCTCAGAGCGTAGCTGTACCCCCTTCGTAGTAGCTGTATCCTTAATTAATAACAGCTTTACCTATGCTGGGACATCTCTCTACTTTGTCTTTCTGTCTGTCGGTTTATATGTTTTCTTTAAAAGTATATTTATATATGCTGTTATTCGTCTTTTGTACAATGTTCTTCATATAGTACTTAAGTATTATTCCGTCGACCGTGGAACTGTCCACTAAGCAGCACGAATTAGCGCCAGTTGTGGATAAACTTGATATAACAACACGCTTCTAACATCTAAGCTTTCGCTTCATGCAATCCCAATTGATTCTGGATAAGCCACGTTTTGTTTTTATCCACAAAGATACTAATTAACTGTTATTGCTATATTTTTTCCTTCAATTTTGAAAAAATGCTTGCTCAAAATTTGGGAACCCCCCTTATATAGAATAAAAGGAAATATATTATTTTCAAAGTTACGGGATCTTACCATCAAAAGACGTGCTTGGACATTATCCGGTCAGCTGAATATGGTCAACAAAACAGTAATAGATTGGAAGAATTATGGACAGGAAATTTGTACGCCCAGAGTTCTAAACAGAGTTTCTCGTTAAATCGGAGGACCTAACAAAATAGTAGAAATCTACGACAGCCTTTATAAGAAGCGGGTCGAATACTGATTTGTTATTAGATAAAGAGGCGTGGTTTCTTTCAGAATTCTGCTGGAAAGATTGGCGCAACTATGGTCAGAACTTTGCCAGCTTTCATGTTCGATAGTAGCCAGAATCTAAGGTCGACAGGATAATACGTACGTACCGTTCATATTCTGTAACTGTGTATCAATATCATGAATGCCAGAATAACTATGTATTTGACTGTTCGATGAGTATAGTTATCGGCAGTATGAATACTGTTATGAAGTTTTGAAACAGTTGAATGCGTAGCGTAAAAAGAACGTTTCTCTAGCTGATATACAAATACATAATTTTTTAATACGAGGGAAAGACGCTTGTATTTTCAAGATTCTATCCAGAAATCCACGAAATGCGGCTCTACGACTAACTAACTTTACAGAGTTGTTGAAATGATCAGTGAGGGACTACAACGAAAAATGGTTATTGGACGCCTGTTCCCGGACATTGCCAAGGCTTTTGATCGTGGTTGTCTGGATGCCCGCATATTCAAGTTACACAACCTGGGTTTCCCAGGATATATCCCTAACATAATTAAATCCTATCTGACCGGTACACACTTTGTCGTTCAAGTAACAGGAATACTCTCCACTCGCAGGCCCATCCAGGCTGGGGTCCCCCAGGGATCCCTTCTTGGGCCTACACTTTTCAATATATACGTGAACGACATTCCCACTACACCCAACACGACACAGGCAATGTATGCTGATGACACTGCGATCCTCTCTCAGTGCATTTGTTTGGCCAGCTATACGACGCTTACAAGATTACATACATACACTTGAGACTTGGCTGACCGAGTGGAAAATTAAAATAAATGCCGAGAAGACACAAGTTATACTTTTCACGAAGAAAAAGAAGTTCAGAAAGAACCTTCAGCTATATGGAGTATCTATTCACTGGGCCAAGCAAGTCTTTTATCTGGGGGTGATCGTCAGTAAACCTCTTTCATGGTGACCCCGTATTCAGGGGCGTAGCTAGAGGGGGGCAAGGGGAGGCATCTGTCCCCGGGCGCAGAATCCAAGGGGCGCCAAACTGATGTTACGACATTTTAGAATTAAATGTTTTCCATCCTTGGCCAGCAGTAGGGGGCGCGAAATCTTCAGTTGTCCCTGGGCGCTGAAAACCCTAGCTACGACTCTGCCCGCATTGCATCTATCATGAACAAGTTTCGAGTAGATAAACGCTCACTCTTCCCCTTAATTGCTCGAAACAGTGTACTTCCTATAGACAACAAGTTACTTATTTATAAATCCATGTCGCGTTCCATACTTTGTTATGCCTGCCCGGTTAGGGCGTATTCATGCAAATCTGCCAGAAAAAAGCTACAAACTGCCCAGAATTGTGTACTGCGGCAGATTACTGATTCTCTGTGGAACGTGAGGAATCTGAAATTGCATGAGGAATTATGCATAGAGCAGCTTGTCATTCTATTGCCGCACTGCTCGCAAATTCTTTAATGATCAGAAACGAATCAATAATCCTGCCATCAGGGTACATGATCATGATGTAAATCACCCTTCGTATAGTAAAAGTCCAATGGCCATACTTGGCAACTTACCAGATTAATGTACCTGCATGCCTTAATTGACATGTACTTTGTATTTGTGTATTATCTTCACTCATATATTTTTTTTGGTATTTATATCATGCATATCACTATTATCTTTATTAATTTTCATATCGCACCTCTGGGTTCCCACTTATGTATATCACTTCACAGGTTATCACCAGCTCGACGGCTAATTTCGTAGCTTTCCAGATAGCTTTTCACAACACCCGAGATCTTTGCGCAACCTACTTTATTATTTATTTAATTATCGAACACCTTCGGCCTCTCTTAAGTCCCAAAAATTATTTAAAAAAATTACGTATGTCATGTAAATATATTTGTATATACATTACTTCAATTTATTATGTGTAAGCTGTTCAAGTTATTTTCCTGTACCATTCGTAAACAATACTATTCTTCGATGTGCGGTATGATCTTGGACCCAGGCACCCTGGTGCTACACCAAAATGTTCTCTCCGTGCAATTTTATCTCCGTACGAAATGCGGCAATTGTTGAAGGAATATATCCTGTATTAATAATCTTGGCCATAGGAGAAATCTGGCTTAAGCACTGAGAAAATGAGAGTTATCTGAATTGTGATGCGAAAGTGTATTCTGGAATGTGAGAAGTTTTATGATAAGTATAAAAAGATCAAAATGTTTTTAAAGAAAATTTCAAGGGAAGAATATTGAAAGTACATATTTAGTCACATAGGATATCTAAGTATGCAAAAATATCAATACGAATTCTGTACTGAAGAATAATGGTGACCTCATAATGTTTATGTCATTAAATATTTCCTTAACTTTCTTTATGATGATTGGAAATGCTGTTGGCCTAGCTTTACCTAAACGCAGAACAAACCTTATCCCTCCCCTTCATTTTCTGCCAACTACCGAACAAAAGTTATTTTGACGCAGTGATGCAATGAAAGACCGTTTGTTAATTTACAACAAATGGAAAATTAACTACTTTTACTGATTACGAATCCAAGCGAAAACAAGTTTAATATGGAAATATTTCGAAAATTTTATGATGTTCAATGAAGTTAGATAAAACATTGAATCATATTTCCTCAAAAATTAACGCATTGCATGATTTCTGCTAAGGTCTGCATTTCTATATATGCAAGCTAATTAATGCGTGTTGCTTTGTTGCCTAGTCCGTGAAAGCATATTAAATATGTAAGCTAAATACATAATTTTTTCGAATTCTTGAAACACAAAACAGTTTTTTAATTAAACTTAAAAATCTTCTTACATTTAAAAAGAA